CCAATTCTATTCAGCAGTCTGGTCATCAACAAGTAAAAGATGTGTTAGACTATATAACAGCTTATAATTGTATCTGCAGCTCTGTAACCACAATGTAGAAACTTTTCTGCCAGATTAATACCAATGCTTCCTGAATTTAAATAGCCTACAAATAATGTTTTTCTTGGCATGCATTTATCACCTATTTATCTGACATACCATATCTTCACTGCTTCACTAGTGTTACTTGCAAGACAAGATAATCATAGTATTTAGAAAATACTGTGGCCTGTGATAATTTTGGATTTGATCTTTTTCTGAGAAGTGAAGAGGGCTGACACATTCTTCAATATATGCAGAAAAATGTATGCTAGGAGGTCATGACTTCAGCTTCTTTCTTCTCTTTCTTCTTTTTTTCTCTGAAGAAAAATTCATAGAAGTGCTGGGTTAAGTGCAGTTGGACTTGATGATCTTAAGAGTCTTTTCCATCCTAAATGGTTCTCTGATTCTAAGATCTCTTCAGTACCTGCAGGCACAGCTCCTTGCAATGATGGCACAGTTGATGCCTCTTGTGTCACTCACCACTTCCCTGTGGTTACAGATGTTATAAAATCATAGAATGGTTTGGATTGGAAGGGCTCTCAAAGGCTTCAGCCTCCCTGCCATGGGCAGGGACACCTTCCACTGCCCCAGGGTGCTCAAAGCCCCGTCCAGGCCGGCCTTGGACAATCCCAGGGATGGGGCAGCCACAGCTTCTCTGGGCAGCCTGTGCCAGGCCTCCCCACCCTCACAGGCAAGAATTACATCTAATCTAATGCTCTCCTCTTTCAGTTTAAAACATTCTCCCTTGCCCCATTGCTATCTGCCTGTGTAGATATTGTCCATGCTCTGGCCTCAAGGAGGCTTCTCCTCCAGCCTTATCTGATATATCAAATTTCCACCTCTCCCCAAACAATTCAAGTTGTAAAAGCTGTGACATCTGTTTTGGCAAGCTGCACCCCGCGAGGAGGGTGTGTATCACTTTCCCTCTCCCCTGCCTGGGTGGGGCTTTTTTTGCCCCTGCAGTGTGAAGATGAGGTTACTGAAACCATGGGAGATGCTGCTCCTGCAAACAGCTCTGTTTGAAGCAGACCACTGGACCAGGACAGGCGAGAGAGAAAGTGTTGCAGCCTTTGCAACTTTTGTTTGGAGTGAAAAGGAAAATACACAGCGATAGAGGGGCTCTTGGCTTTGATCATTACTGGTTCGGGGAAATAAAAACATAACCCAGAGGGAGAGAGCCAGGGGTGTAATAATGTCAGGTCAATCTCTTTGTTATTTTCCAACATCAAAAGGAGCTGTGGGAGTTTAGCTTTTATTGCCTTCCCTTTTTGTTTTCTACTTTTCGGCTTTCTTCCTCAAAATTCAATACAGCCCTCTCTGGACTTCTCACCCCCGTGTGCCCCTGCTCCTGCCAGTCCCCAGCCCATTGCAAGCTGTGTGGCACACTACGGGTACAGCACCCTGGCCAGGGGTGCCCATCACTGCCCAGCCTGCCAGGTGCTACTTTAGAAGATGGTAATGGTGGTAATAATCCTTGGTAATAATGGTAATAATCCTTTCTTCAGTGTTTTGAGCCAGGGTTTACTCTCTTGGCAGAGGTCACCCCACTGTGCTGATGAAAGATGTTTGGGTGCAGCCAGGAGAGAAGCCTGAGCACGGCTCCCTCACCCCAGAAATGTACTGATCAGCATCCATCCACAGAATTCCATTAATTATCTCTTTTTCCTTCAGCACCATCTCTTGTGGTTTTTTCAGCAACATGAAGGACTGAGCCTGCTGTGCTGGGGAAAACCAGGCTCTGGGCTGGCTTACCTGGCTAGGGCGGAACACAACCTTCTGTGGGGCCACATCTTGACTAAGTAGCTGAACAATGCCTGGAAATTCCAGGCAGGTGGTAGAGTGGACAAATGGGAATAGGAACAACCAACGACCTTTCTGAGCTGAGCCCACATTTGGAACCAGCTTGTCCTCCCCCTGTGTGAAGCTGCAGCAGCTTCAGCCTGTCCTGGCTGCAGCTGGGCTGGCTGGCATGGCCACTCTTGGCTGCTTGGCCCAGAAGTTAGGGATCCTCAAGGATAACTTGCATGATTAGTTGGTCCATACTGTGTTTTGTGAAAATAATAAGTTAAAACCACACAACTATTTTACAGAGTTTTAAAGATATTTGTGTCCCATTGAGAGAACGGGGAAGGAGGGAGCAGTGACATTGGGGGGGTGTGAGAGGGCTGTGCTGCTGGTGCTAAACAGCTGCTAGTGCTCATTTGTAGAGCCCACTTACACTGGCCTGAGTTTGTATAAAGATTGTTTATTCTGACATCAGAGCTGTGTAGGCATCCCCAGCGCAGCGTTTTCTGCAGTGGAAACAACCTTTCTCTGAGATGGGCACAGCAGGCAGTGAGGGCTTGGCTCTAAGCAACACAGGGTTGAATTTGTAGGTGTAAGAGGCATGAAGATGTGTTTACATAGTGTGAAACCCAGCAGCAAGGCATCCTTGCTTATTTTATGATTCCATCAGCATGTTCTTGACTGATTATGAAGGGATTCCTTGCAAGTTAACAAGCTGAAAACATTTTTGTTATTAAAGAGAGCCAAATCAAACTTTATTGAACAAATACACCTTGGATCTCTGACTAATGAGTTTTTCTGCTGTTCAAACATGTTATGTGATGTGAATGAAATTGCAGTTGAATTAGACTTCGCTGTTCATGTAGAATTCACAAGCTGCAATTTTTTTCTCACAGCTTTATTTTAGGCAGGTAAGTTATTTTTGGATGAAATGACAGTGTTGCACAATTTGGCTATGTAAAAGTGATTATTGAAAATAGTATTTACTGGTCCCGTTTTATTGTCAAGAAATTGACTCAGAAGCGTACTTTGAAATGCAAAAGGGCTGATCCTTCCATGCTTCCCATCACTAACTCCTGAATAGAACACTTGTTTTGTGGTTTGCTTTGTAAAGCTGTGCCCTGTCAGGGGAGCGCAGGACACAGCTGCTGCCAGCCCAGCCCCAGGACTGTCACCAGAGCTGAGTGGAGCCCACATTTTGGTACCTGCAGTGACTCTACTGACTTTGATTTATTCCCAGCTAACTTGGTATGAATAGTATCAAAACCAGGGTCACAGCTATATCCATTAGAGATGCAGAACAGAGCTTAAAAATAATACTCTGACTGACATGGAGATTTATATAATGAAAGATGGGGCAATTCCAGATTTCTCCAGCAAACTGATGTTAAACAAACTGCTCTGAGTGCTCGAGACCTAAAGCCTGTGATGGAAAAGGAACATTTAGACAAAGCCTGTATGTGAACTATTTGCAGAGTTATTGTTAGGCAAATGTATTATGATGCATTCCCTTATGTTCTATTTTCACCTGCTAAAATAAATTAAGCTGTGGCATTACTAAAAACTAAGAACTGCCAAAATAAACGAGGGAACTGACATTTAGAGCATTTTGGAGATTTCTTATACTGTAGAAGGAATTAAAAAAAATTTCAATTGAAATCACAAGCACAGGTTTTCTCCATTGAGAACATTTAATGTAATCCTCCTGTTCTTCTGGCACTCGCCAGGATAATCTACAGCTCTTAACCTGTAGGAAGTATAGATGCCCAACTCCATATGAAGAGATTTGCTGCCATCTTTTGGTAGATGCATGTTCCACAAATTAACGAAAAATTCTCTCTCACAGATACTAAACATTTTGTCCCTCTGTCCATTCTTAGCCCACCTGCAGCACCAGCCCCTGGAGCAATTTAAAATTGTGTAGACGTGACATTTGGGGACATGGTTTAGTGATGGACTTGGCAGTACTGGGTTAACAGTTGGACTTGATGATCTTCAAGGTGTTTTCCAGTCTAAACAATTCCATGATTCTGTGATTCTGTGCACTCAGCCTCTTCTGCAGGGACAGCCTGTGAAAATTAATCTCACCCAATGATATCCAAGGACCTCCCAAAATCCCTGTGGGTGCCTGTGGGGTTGGAAGGGCTCAACGCAGAGCAGGGGCTGGGCTAGTTTCTTCATGGTCTGGCTGCTCAGAGAAAAGTTGTAGGGAACAGGCTGCAATCTCTGCAAGTCTGCAAGTAATAATCTTCTTTATGCCCAGAGGTAATAAAAAAATATATTTGATAATCTGGGGCAGCAGCAGGATGATGCATGGGGACAGAGCAAGGCTGGGACACACTGCTCCACAAATCACACTCATTGCTATCAGATTTACCTTTGAAGAGGGCAAAGAGCTGAGGCTGCACTTTGGCAGGGGCAGATTAAGGAACTGCTGCTCATGGTGAAAGTGCACCCTTGTGACTGGGCCAAAGGGATGTTGGGGAATATCCTGTGCCCCTGCTCCCCTCCGGGGTCCTGCCTGTGCCACAGCAGCCTCCTGGCTTCCCTTGCTCCTCTGACTCCTGGAGGAGGAGGTTCAATGCACCCTAGCAGAGAGCTGCCCACTGTTTTTTTGCTGGGCTACGTTTTTTCACGGGACAGTGAATGAAATACAGGGCAGGTTTTGACAGGCCCCAGGATGCAGGAAAAGAGGGAAGGTATCAGCTGCTGCCAGAGGGAGAACAGAGAGGGTGTTGAGACCTGACACTTCACCCTGAATGCAACTCTGCGCTCTGGTTACAACACCCACACTCGTAGTGGTGCCTGGATCAACAAAATGACTGTGGTCAGAACTTTCCAAATTTGAAAGAGACCTCTTGTTTCTGTGGGTTCCTACTCTGGTGGCAGGCTGAACACTTTATTTTAGTGTGGATTTGATATCCAGCACAGTTCTTTCAGCCTTTGCTGCCTCAGCTGCCTTTCTAAGGTCAATATGTGGCTACACACAATCCTTTCCCCTCTACCACCCTGGCATGACAAGAAATTCCCGAGATCCCACTGAATTCCACAAGCCACTTCATTTATACACTTCAGTTCAACATTAAGTTCGTTGCAGGGTTTATTTAGTTTGAACCCTGACCAAAGTTCCCAAGTGCTGTGTGTGTGCTCAGCTGCATGACTCCAGCCTTGCTCCTGGGCTGTGCCAGGCCAGGCAGCGCTCACATGATGGGGTACAGCCCTGCCACGGCTGTGGGAGCAGTGCCCTTCAGAGAAATGCTCTTGGGAAAGAAAAGGTATGAGCCAGGTAAGAGCACAAGCAGGGAAACTGCCTTCTCTCACCATCCATTGCCACTGTGCAAAGGAGAAAGAGCAGGAAAGAACTAATTAAAAACCAAACCAAAACAAACCAACGTTACCGTGAGTGGGATGTAAACTCTCAGCAATGATTCTTTTTTTGACAAAGACATCCCTTGCATGGTGGGGGCAGAAGGGTGACCAGCCAGACCACCAGCAGTTTCCTGGCTGAGATGATTCCCCTGTTTATCTTGTGGGTGATGCTCTGTGCATCCCAGAGACCTCCAACAGTGCAGGACTGGGTTTATATCTCACCCTGAAAGTGGCCCAGTTCCACCTCTGTTCCCCTCTGATAGCAGAGCACTCCCTGCCTGAGTGTTTTGTCACCAGGAAAGTGTTGCTCTAGACCCAGTCCAGCTTCTCTATAAGCTGTGAGGGCTGATGTGTGTGTCTGAGGGAGAGTTACAAAAGCCTTCAGCTCCCTAATTGATGAGAGCCCCTCCAGGCCCCACAGTCAGTCCCCACGGGGGGAGTCTTGCTGCCTCGCTGACCCCTGGCTCCCTGACAGCTCCTTTGGACACTCACTAGATATCACATGCAGCCTCACCTGCTACAGATCCTCTTTCAAATCCTCCCTTCCTCCTTTCCCACCAGTCTTGCCTCAACAAGAATATGGGGAATTAAAATTTTAACAAGACGAGGAGTTAAATTCGAAATTGAATTTATGCAATTCTAATTTAGCTAATTCAGACTAAATGGGGACTCATCGAATCAGTACAGTTTGGCTTGGAAGGGCCCTTTAAAAGTCACCTGGTCTCGTTTCCCGCAGAGCCGGGGGTTCTGGTACCCAGGCGGCTGCAGGTGCCCTGGGTCGCACCGGGGCCGGCACCGGCGCATCCCGCGGATGCCGCAGCCGGGGCCCGCTGCGGTCCCTTGAGCGGGTGCGGCCGGGGCGCGGGGGCCGCCCGGCGCAGCCCCGTGCCCGAGGAGCGGCTCC